AATATTTTTATACATCTTAACACATTTATATATTTATTTTAATTTTATTTATACAATTTTAATTTTATTTAATAATATATCTTGTTTTAATGAGTTGTTTATATTTGTTTGTTGTTACAATAACCAATAATTGGAAACACATTAAAAAAAAAAAAAAAAAAACTAGCAATAGATTTAGCAACGGAATAGAGAGAATAATTAGCGATGGATAAATACTCGGTTGCTAAATAGCGACGAAAATAGTAGAATTGCAAGGATATTAATGACTAAAATTTAGCTATAGCACATTCCATTGCTATTTAACGATGAATATAAATGAAAATAGAAACGGTTAGTGACGGATACGAGACTTTATGAACAACTAATTTAGAACCATTTATCAACGGGCAATCAACAAAATAGCGACGAAATATCCATCACTAAATGATGACAGCAAAAGAATTCGGAAGCTAAAAAAATAGCAACCACCATTTTAGCAACAGATTTTATATTGTCTCTAATCCATCGCTTATAAAATATAGCAATGTGTTTTTGATAAATAGCAAGGGAAAAATTTGTCGCTATTTCACCAAGTTTTTGTAGTGCACATCTCTTGCTTTGAACCATTGACTTGTTTGATTATATAAGGAAGTACTAATTATAGGCTGTTAGCCTGGGTTTTAATTTGTTTTCGTTCTACTTATACTTACTAATATTTGCTGATTGGAGTCTCTTTGTTTATTCTTTTTAGTATTGGAGCCAAAAGAAAATTAAACGTATGGCTAGAGATAGAATCTTCGTTGTCATCTTTTCCCTGCTCATTTTCAGAGTTGTTAAGGTTTGTGTTGCTGATGCAGATGGATTGAAAAAAGAATTTTATAAGCAAAGTTGCCCACGAGCTAAGGAGATTGTGAAAAACAACACATGGAGCAAAGCTCATAATAACTCTGCTTTGGGTGCTAAACTGCTTAGGATGCATTTCCATGATTGTTTTGTTAGGGCACATATCATTCTTGTCTTAATCCTATTCTGCCTTAATTTTGATTGAGTTTATGAAGCATATATACATTTTCATGACTCATGATATATATATATATATATTGTAATTAGTTAATGTACGTGGCAGGGTTGTGATGCATCCATATTGTTGGATACTGTTGGAACAACTCAATCTGAGAAAAAAAGCAGTTCCAAATCAATCAGTTTCAGGTTAGGAGGTGATTGATAAAATCAAGACTGAAGTTGACAAAGTTTGCCCAGGAGTAGTTTCATGTGCAGACATTCTCTCCTTGGCCAGTAAGCTTTATTTGTTCCATACCTTTTTAAAAACATGTACATATATAGTTGATTATACAAAGTGAGCACACATACCAAAGTAATTAATGGTTTATTAATTAATTAATTAATTAATTTGTATTTACACCGCAGGTGCACATACTGTAGGTGTTGCTCGCTGCATGCATGTGGTGCTTTCTCAAGAAGGCTCTATGACTTTCACAGGTAAAGGTGATACATGGACCCTTCTCTAGATGCAAAATATGTAGAATCATTGAAAAGGCAATGCCCTAGTCCAGCCAATCCAGCAACAGCGGTAGAGATGGATCCTCAAAGTGCATTCTTATTTGACAGTCATTATTTCGATATCCTTCTCCTAAACAAATTAAAGGCCTATTCCAGTCTGATGCTGCCCTCTTAAATAACCCAAGATTCAATTAATGCAGTGAAACGATTACAGAATTCAGACCATTTCTCCCTTGAGTTTGCAAAATCAATTATGAAGATGGGATCCATTGAAGTCCTCACAGGCAAAGTTGGAGAGATTAGAAAAAACTGTCGTTTTTTTTCTAATCCATGAAGCTGGCTAGCTAATCAATATATAACATCATATCCTATCAAAATTTCTATTACCAGTGCAAAGTTGTCTTTTTTCTTAAAGTACTAACACATGTCATAAACAGATTAAATAATTTTAGGATAGGGCATAGTACCTTCAACCTGAAGAAATTGCAAGGCATATCACATGGAACCAGGTCCACTGTCCTCTCAGCTATGACAATACTGCCGTCGATACTATGCAGTTTCATAGGACAATGGAGGATGTTTTAGTCGAAGGAAAGATGAGAAGTTCAATTCTTCTAGCCTATGAGGCTACAGCAAATTTACCATCTAGAGTAGTATGCTTCAGGAAAAATTTAGTTAAAATGTTATATTTCTTTATTTATTCTGATAAATAAACTCATGTTGTCTCATAAATACGGATTTTTTCCGTATTGCCATGTGATTGGTAGAATTTCTAACTCATTCAATCAATTATGTTAAGTTAACAAGTCGGGACTGGTGTCAGATAATTCGGATAAATGGATACATTATCCTTGATGATAAATTGTAGAAAATGATTTATTAATAACAAACGTTTTATATCAAATTTAATATCTGTAAATTATAAAATATAGATCTCATAAATTTTAAATAATTAGTCTCTTATAAAAAAGAAAAAAAAGTAAATACATGTACGAAATTTAATATAAAAAAATTTATTCGTATAGTATTATTATACTAAATAGTACTATACATCACATAATGCATCAAAATCCAAAATTGCAACTATAGTAAAAACAAGGAAAAGGGTTATACAATTCAATGCAGTTTCTACTTTGCAATAAATCCACGAGTAAATTATAAATTAGTCCCTTCAGTTTTGAAAAATAAACTAATAGATATTTTTTATTCCAAAAACTAATTATTTAGTCTTTTGACCAGTGTTGATTATGCTTATTTTCATATTATTGTATTTGAAAAATATCTTTTTTATCATCAATCTTTTCATAATATCTATTTTTTTTCTATTTTTAAAACAAAACAAAAAAAAAGCATAAAATTGACAAAATAAAAAATAATTAGTTTTTAAAACAGTAGGACTAATTTATTTATTTATTTCTCAAAACTAGAGGACTAGTTTATAATTTACTCATGTATTAAAAATTAGCAAATTATGCGTTTTAATTAAGAAGAGAGAGGGAGAGGAGGTTTTTGTGTATCGGTTAATGTTTCCCATTCTATCGGGAGGGCTTTAAGCCTCAAGTTTGTCTGAAGGAATACTGTCTTGGCACCGTTTCTTTAACCAACTCACAATCATTACCTTAACCGTTTTCTCGTATGATTGATTACTCAATTACCTTTTCTACCATTATCTGTTTTTAACCCCTCTCATTTCCTCCATTTCTTTTTTTTTTACAGTTTCAAAACAATATGGAAAATAAGAAGAAAAAGGAAGATCTTAAAGTAACATTTTATTCAACGTTATTAATTAAATTCACTTCCTTTTTCTTTCCTTCTCTCCCTTAATATGGCTATAATTAATTCGCGGAATTTTAATTTAACAGGTGATTGTTGTAGAATTCAAAGTCTCCATGTATTGCAATGCATGTGAAAGAACTGTGGCCAAAATCATTTCGAAGTTCAAAGGTAAGGTACTTCTTTGATCTTTCTCAAAAATAAATTTTGATTTGAATATTATTAATCATCCTCTTAATTTGATGGCTTTGTTCATTGTATTTTAGGGGTAGAAACATTCATAACGGACATGAACAAACACAAGGTAGTGGTAACCGGCAGAATCGATCCACAAAAACTTTTAAAGAAACTAAAAAAGAAGACAAGGAAGAAAGTAGAGATTGTAGGCAACAAAAAGGAAGGAGAGGGATCAAAAGATGCGTCTAGTACAGAAGAAAATGTAGCATCAGAGACAGTTTCACAAACATTTAATCATCAATTCCCTCCAATGTTCTTTGATCCTTGTAAAAATGACGATTTTTTAATGATTTTTAGCGATGAGAATCCAAATGCATGTTCAATCATGTAGAAATATTGATGGGTTTTTTAATTACTCATTTTTAATTATGTAAATACACAACACTGTACCATAAGTACTAACAATGTTTTTCTTTTTTCTCCTCCACTAATTAATTTTACTGTTTTTACCTCTCACGTTCATTCATGAAATTATTGAACGAGATGAAAATAAGGTTTCAATATTCAATTTCTCAGCTGCTTGGCACTGACAACCCCACAAATTCTACTCATCTCTTAGTGCATCGTCCTGTAGACATGTACTATGTCAACGTGAAAGGGAAAGCAACGTTTTGTATCGACTTCAATTATATTTCACTTACCGTTTTCCACAGCTGACGTTTATTTATTCTTTCCAGCGTCTTCTTCTGCGGAAATGCATGAACCAAATTAACTATACAAATTAGTTGAGAATCCAATATTATTGGGCAATGTCAAAGTGAAAGGGGACCAGTTGAGCATTATTACAGTGTCTTTGGAAATTAAAGTAGACCTGCCAAACATCTTTCATATCTTGCTTTTACTGGTTATTTGATGTTGGCACTTAACCATTTGCCCACGCAATGGAGCAAAGGAACCGCCCCACCATCATTTGTTGTGGATAATAAAATTCACAGACAAGCATCTAGACTGTGCTTGCCCTGGCCATTGAGCCAATCGACATGGGCATTCCACCAAATGTCACTAATAAACGTATTTACATTATAGTGTGTTCGCCACAAACTGGATCCTTTTAAGAGTTATTATGCGCATTTACAGAGTAATTAAGGCCAAACTTCTGATAGCAATATAGCATTTTACAGTAGTAGCATTGATATGACAATCTGATGCAATTTACCAACTTTTTATGGTCAAAGTTTAGTTCTTTACGTATAAGACTGTTATTCAAATTTATCCAGACAAAAAATAAATAAATAAATAAATAAGAGCTCATATGTTTCATCAGTATCAAAAGCTTCAAGAGCTTTGCATCCATGACCAAATGCATCAGAAATAGATCAGGCTGAAATGGTTTTTTATTGCTTATAATCGGAGTTGGTGCTTTTATACAAGCTGCTGTGGTAGTATTAAAACTAACACTGCACTGTTTACAATAATTTGAAGGCGGCACATAATATCTTAGTCTTTCTATTTGTACATTGTTCTATGAAAGAAAAATTGGTGTTTCCATTTTATGATGACATAATCTCCAGGGCCTCTCTTCTTTGTCCAAGTATATTGAATACTGTTGCTGCAATGTGAGATGGTGTGAGACCAGCTTCTACCAACTGATCAGCTGGAGATCCATGGTCAATGTACCTATCAGGAAGAACAACCGGTCGCCACTGCAAACGATTTTCAAACTAAACAGTGAGTATTCTACATCCAAACAGCTTTTGCAAATTGAAAATGGATGATATAAAGAGAAATGTTAAATTTTACAAAAAATGTCACAAAATTCATCACGAAATTTATATGTTCAACCAGTTTACAGGTCAAGGCTAATAGCTGCAACCACTTTAATATTCATAAGAAAATTTCAAATTCCAAATTTGAAGAAATACAGTTCAAAACTAAAATTTCAAGAATTGTGTGAGTTCTAATTTCAATTGCGACAAAAACCAATGGCATAATTTATTGAGATGAGTACCTTTAGTTTGCCATCGAGAAGACCATCGAGGGCCAGAAATTGAGCAACATGAGACCCAAAGCCCCCAATCGATCCTTCTTCCACTGTAATCAAAATCTCATGTGATTTTGCTAGGCTGCGAATAAGGGCATGATCCAACGGCTTGCAGAACCTGGCATCTGCAACCGTCAGATGAATACCGTGGCATTTTACTAAAGAGGCAGCAGCTAAACAGCTCTGGACTGCTGTACCATAACCTAAGAGTGCCACTCTCTCCCCTTCAATCATCATCCTGCCTTTTCCAACCTGCAAGGTAAGTTTGAACATATATTTTCAAAGTTAAATATTAATTCATTCGAAACTTTCCTTCATGAGAATGGACGCAAATAAATAATCAGCTACACCTACCTCAAGAGGAACGCCTTTGTTTCCTGCTGGCAGCTGAACACCAATTCCATTACCTCTTGGGTAGCGGAAACAGCTAGGACGGTCATCTATAGCAGCAGCAGTAGCAACCATGTGGAAAAGTTCTGCCTCATCCGAAGGAGCCATAACCACCATGTTAGGAAGGCATGCCATATAAGTGACATCAAATGCTCCACAGTGTGTGGGACCATCTGCTCCAACCAGCCCAGCTCTGTCCAATGCGAATCTTACTGGAAGTTTCTGCAAATCCACATCGTGAATCACCTGTGGTATACACCAATTGTGCATTAATAACAGTATCTACATGGGAGTTTAGCCCAGTGTCTGGTGACCAAATAATACCAACCCAGCTAGTTCAGTGTATTGTCATATCAACTGAATAAGATGTACGAAGCAATTTGACTTGCCTGGTCGTATGCTCTCTGCAAGAAAGACGAGTAGATTGCACAAAAAGGTTTAAGACCTTCACAGGCAAGTCCTGCAGCAAAAGTAACAGCATGCTGTTCTGCGATCCCCACATCAAAACATCTTGTTGGAAAACGGCGAAGGAAGAGATTTAAGCCTGTTCCTCCTCCCATTGCAGCATGAATTGCAACAACATCTTTATCCGCCTCTGCTTCTGCAACCAAAGCCTCTGCAAAATATGTCGTATAAGACTGTGTGCTAGGACTTGCCTTGAACTGCTTTCCAGTTGCGGGATCAAACTTGGTCACTCCTGCAAAATGAAAATATTGCAGTTAATCTTTTCTGATGATAAGCTTTTGGATTCAGTATGCAGTGGCATGTGAAGGAATTTTTCACAGAAGAAGTTAAATCAACAATACTAGTTTTCCCTTAGAGAACTGCAATGTAGCTAGTTGGAGCCTTTTTAGCAGCACTTTTTTTTCTTGTGAACTTTGTCACTTGTATTTACCATGGTACTTGTCTGCAGCTCTCTCAGCATATGGATACCCCCGACCTTTCTCAGTGACAACATGGATCAGGACTGGACCTGTAATTTTGGTACTCTTCACCTCTTTGAGAATGGCAATAAGATCATCAATATTGTGCCCGTCAACAGGGCCAATATAATAGAGACCAAGCTCTTCAAAGAGGGTTGATCCAGAACCACTAATCATTCCACGAGCATATTCGTCAACCTTTGCTGCCAATTCATGCATTGGTCCACCAATTTGTTTCGTAACTCCCTGCAACAGTTTGAATAGCAACAAAACCAGTTTTCAGTTCCAACTAGTTAATCAAAGCATACCCTCCCCCAATTGCCACCCCTCTCTCCTATGTGTATTTACCTTAGCAACCTCCCTTAGTTCCCTGAGAGGCTTGTTTGATTGCAGCCTACTGAGAGCACTGCTCAAGGCTCCTACAGGTGGTATCGGCCCATCTAAACTGGCTGTTGGCAAAGAAACCTGTTTGTTGTCATTAAGTATGACAATCATATCAGAGTCCAAGTACCCTGCATTGTTCATTGCTTCATAAGCTTGTCCTGCTGTCATGGCACCATCACCTATAACAGCGACTACATTGTTTTCTCTTCCTTTTAAATCTCTTCCCACAGCCATTCCTGTCCACCAAAAACCACCAAAAGTTTACATATCATACGATGAATTAAGCCTAGGCAGGACCTACTCATTCTATTTGTTTGGAAATAAATTTTGCCAATAATAATTAAAATAGTTTGAACAGAGATCCAAGCAAAATGTTGTGTGATTAAATGATTGTAGGTGTGAAAATCCTATATCAAGAAAAAAATTAGCATGTTAGAAGATGAACGATGCAATCACACCAAATCTGTAGGAAAGCACAATCCAACAAGTTAAAAATAAATAAATAAAACAGTGCGGAATTCATGTTGCAGGATTGCCAAATACATCAATATTAAGAAGAACGTTAGATATCTAGCATTCTCTACTTTGGGAATAAGACTCAGCTGAGCGAAATTAGGGGCACTCGATAGCTGCAACAAGAGGTTTGACTAGGAGTTGAAAAAAAAATGAACATAGATAACAAATAGTCCAAGGTAATTATAATAATTAATTATGTTTAGAAATGAGCAGATTAGTACCCAAGCCAGCAGAAATGGTGGTAGAGCTGTGACCAGTGCCAAAACAATCATATTCACTCTCCGACCGCTTTGTAAAACCAGCCAACCCATTGGTCTGTCTTATTGTATGCATCTTGTCTCTTCTCCCAGTCAGGATCTTGTGAGGGTAAGACTGCAAACCAGTAGTGTTACAGTCATATTTAGATCCATCATCACAAAAAAAAAAAAATGGTGTTCTAGCTTAGACAAAATCTCTTTTTTATCAGCTGCAACAAAGAGAAGAATGTAATTAAGCTGAACAAGAATTAGAGAACAAAACCTGATGGCCAACATCCCACAGTATCTTGTCTTGAGGAGCATTGAAAACATAGTGAAGAGCCACAGTGAGCTCCACAACACCAAGGCTAGAACCCAAGTGACCCCCTGTTTTAGAAACACTGAAGATAACATCGGACCGCAGCTCATCTGATAGTTGTTTTAACTCCTGTATTGATATGATGATCACCAGTAAGTAAAGTTCATATACAAATATTCTGTATGATGGTAAAGTTTTTTCCTTTGTCCATGAATACAAAAAAGTAGATGTAAGTTTTAGTTACTGACCTTGACAGATAGATTTTTCATGTGAATTGGATAGTTTATGGTGTCCAAGAGAGGTGTTGGTGGTCTCTGTGAATGATAATCTCCACTTTCTGATAGTGATGCCCGAACCCCATTTTCCCTTTTCTTGACATGTACCTAAACAGAACAAAAACACCCATTTCTTTGAATACTCTCCGTTTCGTATGTGTATGTGTGTGTGTGTGTGTGTGTGGAAACAATTAAAATTGCAGACCAAAAAATAAAAATAAAAACAAAAAGAAGACAAAGAATCTTGTTGGACTCTCTCTCAATGTTAACCTCAACGCTAAAAGAAGATTGAGACATCGCAAAAACTTCATTAAAAAGAATTGAATTTTGACCAAGTTTAGTAGTTATCAACATGTAACGAGTAATGCAAACCTGAATGCTCTTGTCTAAAGATTGGGACAGCAGATCTGTTCTCGATAAGAAATGAGAAGACAAAAGACTATACTTCTGAGGGTGGTCTAAACTTGTGACCCTATTGACATGAGCAGGGAAAGGAAATGCAGAGAGAGCCATCTTGGATACAAGAAAAACAAAGCAGACTGCTTAAGAAACAAGAAGAACCCAGAAACAGAAACACAGTGCAGAACAATATAGTAATGAGTAGTGTCCCACTAATCAATGTATGGTTTCAGTGGTGATTTAGTAAATAAAGAAAGGCGTGTGGCTACTAATGGAAGTTGCAAGAAGAGAGAGAGAGAGAGAGGGGTAGAGGGAGGGAGGGAGGGAGGGAGTTTTGTAAAGAAGTTTGTAAATCGTACTCTTTGGGTGCTGTTTTTATTGCCTCCACAGCAATAAAGTTTCAGGAGCGGCGTGTACAGCCAACTCCCATTGGGCCACGTCATCAGAAATCAGAAATGGATAGATAGGCTGTCTGGATATAGATAGGAAATGTCAAAAGTTTATAATATATTGATTCATTCAAAATGCATAGAATGTTAGTACATATTAGAGATGTAATAATATTTATTCCTTTTTATGGTCTTCGGGTCAGATACGTGGGATTTTATTACTTCATATGATTCGTTAAATGTCACTGTTTCCGTTGGAATCCCTTTTTTCAGAAAATCGCTCTTGGGAAAGAGATTTTCGGGAATTTAAAATTGTTGACTTTGCTTGATAATATACAATTTTTTAAAAAAATATATATCATTTTTGCATTTTTTTTCTGTGAGAATTCTAGAATATTTGTAATAAATCACCAAGTTATCCTTTATTATTGTAATATAATAAATTATTATTATCATTATTATTATTATTATTATTGTATCTTCATTGTTTAGTATACAAAGTTTTCCAATTTGTAACGTGCTCTCTCTCTCAAAGAAATCGTTTACCTTTTTATTTATAGTTGTTTCAAAATATTGGACTAATCAAAATTTTAAATGATATATTTTTTTAAAATACACTTAATTAAAGTTTATGTTTTAAAAAATTATTCAAATACAATTCTAAAAAAAAAAAGATATTTTTGGAAAGTAAGAACACAAGATGATGATATAGCATATAAAAAATGATAATTTGACATAATAATTAATAATTTTCTTAATCTGTATGAAAAAAAAATCTATGGATAGACCTAATTTGAAATAGATTATCATGTATTTTATTTTTATTTGCCCCAAAGGTATTATTTGGTAACAACATTTAAGTCATTTATTTTTCTACAATTTCTTAATTAAAGCTCATTTTTTTTGTAATTAAAAAGAAGATATTTTTAAAAAGGGTGGATAAAAAAAATGATAACATGGCATATAAATTAATGACATTTTTAATATGTGTGAAAATTCAAAAATAAATTATTTTTTTTTAAGGGAGAGAGAAATTTCTGAAAATACTATTTAAGTTTACAAAGTTTGGGAGTTACAATTTCACAAATATTCTCTAACAAGAAGCTAATACAATTTTATCAAAACAACCAATCAATAAAAAACTCCTAACGAAAATAAATGTGCATGAGAAGCCAGTTAACCTGTAATACGATTAGTCTCTCTGAATATACCATGATGGTTGAAAGGGATCGCAACTGGTGTAAACCAACTGATTGTAATCTCAAAGACTATCACCTTGAAAAAACCATAACCGAATAGATAATTTAGAATCAGTTTCAAGCAGTAAAGGTCCATAACCAGCAGACCAAGTTTTTTTTTAACCAATAAATCCAAATTTCAGTATACAGAATCGAACAGACTCCGAGGTGGTAAGATAAATCTTGTATCCAGATACTTGAATCATCACGTAAAACATCATTAGCAGCAACTTGAACGCACTTATCGAGTTAATAGGATGCAAAAAAACCTTCTTCAAAAAAGCTTTTATTGCGCAAATCCAGCGATAAGTATCAAACCACCAAGTACGTCATGCATGAAACTGTACTGTTGTCGTCACGGCTCTGCTCAACTGCAATGTTACTCCAAAACCAATTTTTAAGGTTAATTAATTAAAAAAAAAAAAAAGAATTCTGAACTAATGAAAGGCTCCACGTGTATCTCAAATTACTTTAGCATGAAAGCAATCTCAAAAAACGTGAAAAAGACCTAATTCTAAGTAAGCTTCACATCAAGAACAAGTGAAGTCAGTCGACAGAATTGATGAATAACTTTGTCGTGGACGGGCAATGTAAAGACGACTGGCCTAATCAGAGCAGATAAACGTGAATCACGTACGTGCTGCCATAATTATGCTGTAATTCTAAACGATTTTTTGTTAATTTTTGTAGGTTTCAAAGCAAGAATATGTGCCAGAGACTTAGTAGCAACTGAGATTTTAAGCTTATAATTTGATGATATTATGGGAGTAACGGACATGTTAGTTGTGAAAAAATTAATATTCTTAAATAAAAATATATATATACTTCATTAAAAAAAAAAGTAATATACTTACAGCATAATTATCCCATTAATGGTTAGGACCAACATTTCATTTGGTTGATGAGTTTACCGTGTAAGGAGTAAATAAGGCTGGGCATAAATCTACTGGCTATTTCATCCCTCCAATCCCTTCCATAGATATGGGAACCACTTGGGAGGTTTAAAGAAAATTGTCCACCATTTGCTTCAAATTCAAAAGGGCTAGGGCCCGATTGATGGACCTAGAACGTGTACCACATTTTGATGGAGACTTCGGTTTTTGTTTTTTTTTTTTAATTAGATGGTAAAAGGGATATTGATCGTCAACTCAAATTGTTGTTTTTTTTCTTAATAATAAGATTACTTTCATTAAGAGGATTGATCAGCAGCCAAAACTGATAATAAAAAAATTTAAGGGTTATGGTCCCCAACACACAAAACCAGACGTAGAATAAAAAACTCTAGCTAAAATATGAGTTACTTAATTCGTTAATCTTTTTAAAAAAATTACAGAGATATTCAGTAATTTCTTGACCAAGGATTTACAATCTTCAATAATAAGACCCAAAGGAAAGGAGGAAATAGATGAATTCACCACGGCCAGCACAATCACTTTTTTATATGATTTTAAATGTGTGTCTTTCATAGGTAGTATGGTGGTTTCAAATTTAAATTCATAAAGTATTTAACTATCAGATCTACCCTTCATCATTGTGGTACAGAATTTGAGGGCTATAAATTAACAAGGGAATCCAGTCTATTCATTTTGTCTCGACATTTCCATGTTCGTACCCAATTCATGCCACTTTCCCTCGCGTAACATGCTTCTGAAAATTTTTGTCATGGAATAGGATGAGGAATTTGAAGTTAACCATGCAAGGGATTAGAACATGCATCCATGACAGCTATAGAAACCAAAATCATCAGAAATCCTATTTGGTTTTTACGTCTAGTGGATTACAATTTATTTTTATATTCTAAGTTATTATTTTATCTATCTTTTCAGATTTTTTTTTTAAATATTTTCACAAAAATACATTAAAAAAAAGTTTAAATCCTACTTGATTTATTAAAAAAAACATATATTAATTGTTTAAAATGCATTGTTAATAAATTTGATTCGGTTTGAATTGCATAATGTCGTTCGTTTGAATGACAACATTCATCTAATATAAAAATGCGTTGAAGAATAATTATATGCACAAAAACAAATTAAAAATAATGAAACTTATAGAATAAAGTGAAAACTGGACTTAAAATACAAGATAAATTGGACTAATTCTGGATCCAAAATCCAACGGTATCATAATGAGAAATCGACAGACCTCCTCGTCTTTGATTATGCCGCTCCTATTGATGTAGAATAAAGCCATCACTTATGAACAAGGCAAGATGTCGTCCTAAGCACCCAAAAAACCGCAACCACACAACAAAAAGTGGGTTTTGAAAAAAAAAACCAAAACAAAACAAAACTCCACAGTTGCAATAAATTGAGACAGAGAAATAAAATAACCATAGCCTATGCAGGCAGAAAACAAAATGGGTCCTCCTGATGTGAATTTTTTGTATTACAATTTTTAAAAATAAAATTGCAATACCTTTGTCATTGGATTTGGGCCTGCTTCTTGCAAGCCCAAGCTCATAAAATAAACAAATTAAGCTGAGCTAGAGTTGCGTTTGTGCTCATTGGGCCTAGTTTATGAAACCGAGATCTCACACAAACGCAGAATATAATACTCAAGGGATCCCACTCCCACACGCACCAATAGCTTTAGCGTTCGAGGAGATTTGTACATTCGGAGCTTTTGTGTGATGGACACAAGAAAAGAGACCAAAATCGGTTCTTGATCTAGAAAGAATCAATTTGTGAATGACATCATTTATTTAGTTGCAAAAGAGTCATGTTAAGCTAGCGACTTGGAAATATAGAATATTGTAACCAAAGAAGAGAAGAACATGGATAGAATGTAGCATGTCAAAGGGTATGAATGCATCAAATCAAGCCTAGAAGGATATCAAAGGATTCTGATCTGTCTCTCATGTCCTCTTTTTCTTGTCCAATGCAGGTTTATTGCCAATGTCTGTTGAAACACTACAAATCTTGCCAGAACATGGCGTCAGCCCACGCAAAACGGCCAATGCACTGAGACAAAGGGAAGAAATGCATCCCTTCCAGATCAACTCTGCTAACAAAACAGCTTGACATGTATGTATAAAGAGAGAAGAAATGAGAATCCTGCGGTTGTGTGGGAATAGTATAGTTAACCTGGATCTAGAAGAACCAAAAAAAGGGTACAAATTGGCTGGGCAGAGAGGCCACTGGAAGAGGAGCTCCATCCAAGCAACAGCGACGAAAATATGGGGATCGTCAGCAAAAAGATGATCCCAATTCTCACGAATTTGCCACTACATGAGACGGATCAAGAAATCAGGGAAGGGACTAGAAGGCAAACATGTTGTGAGGAGAGTGAAGGAGAAATCAGAGGAATAGTATCAAGTCTATTAGCTTCATAAATGCACCCATATCTCTCACTTTTCTTCGTTTCTTGGGTTTTTTTTTTTTTTTTTTCATTTGGGATAGTGAGAGTTGACTCATGAAGGCACAAGGAGGCTTCGTGCAAGTTATGGATCTAAACCTAAGAAATTTTACGACTAAACATTGTTTATAGAGCAAGTAACAAACAATTTGATAAATTAATTTTAGCTGGATAATCCTGAAATTATAACTAGTATAAATTTTAATTCCTCCCCACCAATTCATCATGTAAATGACGAGGAGCTGGCTATAAGTATATAATATAAAAAAAAATACAGCAAATTTTGTTCTTTTTGGTGGTTACCTTTTCCACTAGTTGGTTCCGAAGCCCTTATGCTATTGCTAGCTAATTTACCACCGTAACCACTATCACCCCCACCACAGCATTGTCGTCCCTGGGGGCAAAGCCAAAACTTTAGTGTAGTTATAATATAATTGGCTACAGTTAATGCTTCACAACACCAACCCAAAGGGACTGCTGTGGACGGTGGCAATCTAAGAGAGGACTGGTAGCAAATGATTAGGATAAGCATCCATGACAACTATAAAAACCATCACCTTCTTTGGTGACTACAGAAATACATGCCAAAGACGAATCCTTAGCCTCGTCATACATGCCAAAGATTAACTCTTAGCTTCATCTTTGATATTAGAAAATGAAACCATATCACCTTCTCTCAACGCGCCTATTGACATTACCATGTAGAATCAACTTGTTACTAATCAAGTAACTTTCAAAGAGTCGAAGCCTCAATGCATAAAGTAGCCTCATCACAATAACGAAATGATGGGTTTGTAAAAATTGCGGGTATGGCCCAATAAGTGCAGAGACCTATACAGGGTAATTGCCACCAGAGGGCAGAAAACCATTTGGTTAGCCACATGGTCCAGGCGGGTCTTCTACGAACTCCAGGTTGGTAAAACATACTGCAAGGCAACACTACTGTTCGATTTCAAGACAGAATATGAACATGAATTTTGGGAATTCAAATGCATTTGTGGCGAAAGCTGAAGTCCCCAAGACACGAGAAATCATAAGTATCACCATGATCTCATAAATTCAGTTATGTTCACAATAAGAAAGCATTCTACAAACACAGCCTGGCCGAAGGAGTCCTACTTCTGTTAAGAATTCTCTGGTGGCTAGGAGGGAAGGATCAAGGAACACAAATTGAAGCAACAATATAAGGGTAATTATTCAGCTCCACTTAACTCTGAAATTATCCATGGTAATGGACACAAGATACTTAACAGAAAAGTAGATAAGAATCGACAACCTCCAACATTGCCTTCCCCTCTCATTTCATTTTTGCCTCTGTAAACAGAACATGGCGATTTACCCGAGGATCATATTTGCGAAACTCAAGCTTCTCCAAAGCATTCTTGGAACTCTTCCTTTTGACATAGAAGAATCCAGTTCCAGCAGCAGAAACAAGGCGGATGAACATGAAAGTCTTCTTCTTTTTGTCACCCATTCCTTAATTATATATAGAACAGAAAGTCACCAAAACAAATTCTTCTAAAGAACTGAAACACAAGTTATCTTAAAAACAAGCAAGGAAGATAATTCATATATGCATGCATATACATCTGCAGGTCATCACTAAATGCAAAAGGTGAGCTTTCAGCTTTGCAACCATGACAATGCAAAGTCAAGTCCTTCAAACCAGTCACTTCATTAACAAAATGCTCAACGGTAGGAACATCTTCAAATTATCCTTCCTAGATTCCTTCGTGAATCAAACTATAACTAGTCAGCCTATCCTAATTTTTTTTTTTTTTTTTTTTTGGGCATGCACATCTAAAAACTGAATTCAAAATCTATCTCAATTAGTATTACCCAAAAAAAAAAAAAACCCAACCCAAAGTTTTGTCAATTGAATACAAAGCCCAAGATAGAACAAATCAAAATAGCAAAAACAATATGTTCATAACACAACAACTTCATTTGCTCTCTTTTATTCTTTTCGTTTGAATCCATTTCAAGTTGCAGTAGAAATCAATCCCAAGGAAACTGTAACACCTATACAACACAATATATCAAAAGTAACGAGATGAAGATGGAATCATAGCAACCTAACGGCATACCACATTTACAGTAAAGAAGTCTCACTTGGACATTTTATCAAACACCTTTTAAGCAAACTTCATATCTTGAACAAAACATAACGAATACTAAACTTCAAACTCATTAAAGGATCTCCCATTCAATTTCACTGACAATGAAAATGATTAAACAGTAATAAAAATAATCATAATCATAAGGAACTCACTTGCTAATCTTTTATGCAGCCTTCAACAGATGGTCGGTCGGTAATCAGGACGAAACCCAGAAGCTAAAAGAAAAACCCTTCCAAATCAAATAAATCATACCTAGTCTGCTAAATTACATAAATACCCTCCATTAGTAATGTGTATTTCCCAAACTACCCTTTACAGTCATGTTAGCCATTAGCATTCCTTCGCTAAACAATCTGCTCTAATTTTCACTCTCTCCCCTGTTTCTCAATAGCAACGAAGTGGTAAGGGAAACAAAAGTACTAATTTTTTCTTGTTAAATCCTTTCTGTTATGTTTTGCTACTGAGAAAATGTGGGAATTGATGGAAGAATTTTGAAATTTGTTACTTGTGTAGATTATTGTTGAAGATGGCGGCGAGTGCGGTGGATGCGACGGGGAATCCGATCCCGACATCTGCGGTGCTAACGGCTTCATCGAAACATATATCGACGAGATGTTTCCCAGAGAATGTGGAGTTTCTCAAGTGCAAGAAGAAGGATCGAAACCCGGAGAAATGCCTCGAAAAAGGCCAGCAAGTTACTCGCTGTGTCCTTGGATTGTGAGTGCAAATTTTTACAATTTCGCCTTCGTTCTTTATATATGAGTGTGCGTGTGTGTGTGTGTTTTCTTCTGATACTATTATTGATGATTGTTTATTTATTATGAATTGTGTTAATTTATCATGTTTGATTGTAATTTAATTCCTGGTAGTAGGGGTTTTTGGGCTGTTTGGGAATTTTGTTTGGAATATGAAGGTGAAAGAAATATTGAGCTTTTATTTTATTTTGGGTCTGTTTGGATGTTGAAATGTGGTGGGATTGAGCTAAAAAGCAAGGTTTGGTTTCTGATTTTCCGTGGTTTTCTTCAATGAAGTAGGAATGCCTACTTTGATGAGGTTAATAGAGCTGCTAATTAATGGGGATTAAGGAACTTGCATCATCTCTCTGCTTTTTTTTTTTTTCCTCTCAGATTGATGAAGGTTCTGTTTTGTGGTTGTAAGTTGAGGAATCAGTTTATATAACCACATAAAGATGATTGGTTTTGGTAGATGTGAAATTTTTAGCGTTGCTTTTATAGTTTAGGCATCAAACTAGAATGGCTGGTCAGTGTACCGCTTTTTAGTTCTTTGTGGAGCTAAAATTGAATAATTCTTTACGCATCTAATTATCTTTGGTATTGCATGTTAGGCAAAAGCAGCTGATTGATGCATATAGTTAGCTTTTTGTTGCATTAAGTTGCTGGAATTAGATACATGATAGTGCTACTATCCTGCTATGAGAAACAGAAAAGGTAAAGGTTTGGGAAAATGGATAACTTGTTTTTTCATTTTTTGCTTGAGAAAGAGCTTTGAAATGATAAATTATCTGTCCACCTTAAGAACGTAGATAGTCAATAATCTAAACCTTATTAACATTGATCAGATTTCTGGGTCATAATCCAAGCAATTATTCATAAGAGTATAAAGTCTCGATTCAAATTGGGGGGGTTGGTGGGGGGGTGGGCCGTGTTTGCTAAAGTCCATGCTTAAACACTTTCAAGCAACAGACATCCAATCCCCGGAACAATTCTTTAACACAATCAGGAACTGAGTGGATCCCATTGCATTCTGTTTTCCATCCATCTACCCCTAATTCTCTCCGTAATTTGTAACTCCTTGAATATTCTATTTTCTCTTTTTCTGTTATCTTAGCAATCTGGGCATTGCAGATGATTAACGATTCAGAAAAATTGATTGTAATGTAGAAGGATTAAAAATTGCATGCATTGGCACTTCCACACTCAGATTTATAGTGTCAATGCTTGAACAAAATTAGGTAAGTTCTGCTTGTGTAATAAACTATCATGCTTAAATGTCTCATCAACCTTTTAACTTGATCTCGGTCCATTTGTATCCTTGTAGATGGTCTGAATGTCATTTTCTTCCTGCGTGTGATACTGTGAACAAGCTGTACCACTAACTTGATTTTTAGTTTTCAATTTTCTGATAGTTTATATGTCTTCTTTATATCCCACTGCCTGATTTATGTAGAATAGTATTTAATGAACAATTTTACTAAATAATTATGTAGGACTCCATCAAATGAAAGATGATAGAACTTCCAATAACTTGTTGCATCAAACAAACACACCATCAGATGCTCGCCATTTAATACTTTAGTATCATTGGCTACATTTCTAAGTTTTGAGCTGTTTGCCACTGCAGGTTGAAAGATCTTCACCAGAAATGCACAAAAGAGATGGATGCTTACGTTGGCTGCATGTATTACTATACAAATGAATTCGATTTGTGTCGCAAAGAGCAACAAGCATTTGAGAAAGCTTGCCCTTTGGAATGATTGGCAAATGAAACTAGTAGTCAAGCTCACAATAATTCAGGTCGTGATAAGCAAATATTGCTGTTGCGTACATTTTTCTTTTACTTCTTGTGAATGCCTCCCTTTTGGTGTGCTCGGATTGTACTTTAAGATTGTTTTTAAAAGAAAGGATGGATGTTTCCTCCTGCTTAAAGATGCTTGCCGATGACTATATTTGGTTTGAGATGATTGAACTATCTCAATTTTGGTTTCTCATAGATATGCAGCCTGCATGAACATGTGATATATATATATATATATATATATATATATATATATAAATAACGAAATCTCATGCGGCATAACATTGACAATAAGTGTGGATAAAACGGATGGGATTTTGCAGGTCTCTCTTGCTGCATATTGTGGCCGCGTTTGCTGGCCTCAGACCATTGGTATATCATAGCTGGTACAAAAATTTCAGTAACTACATGTAAACATTTTGACGCCAGGCAACAAATTCCACATGTAACGAAAGGTGCACCATCCCAATTCCCAGACGGCACACCCCAATTCCAATTCCCAGATAGAGCACTATTAAGCAAAGGGAGCCTCCTATTTAGCAAGTTACCAGAATGTATTCCAATGATTCGTTCCCTTCGGATTTACCGACAAGTCTAACCCTCTCCAGCCTTCTTAATAAGAGCCCACCTGGCTATGGGTTGTCATTGGTGGAATTAATTGGGCGCATTTTACTTGTGTTACCCTAAACTTTCTATAACCATACTGCATAACTAATTCTCAAAAACGGACACTAATTTTATATAAAGCTTAGGGTGATACAAGTGTTACATGACTGTAAAAAATATTATATTTACTATCAATAAGATTAAAAATAGGCAGTTTTTGGATGGTGGTTACAAGACGGATCACCACCTAAGTTATGGGAGCAACAGGCAAAGCCACCAGCAGCAAGCGCGCGCACACACCCACCCAAAAAAAAAAAAAAAAGAAACACATATATATATATATTACATGCCACTTAAGAAAATTGGAAGAGCTCTAGAAATTGGTTTGTTTTATGGAATAATAATGTGAAGATAGGACCAAATTCGCTTGACATGAATAGAGGTAGCCAAATACAGCCATCAGTCAAGTCTTGCTAAACCCAAAACCATGATAAAGCGTCATAGTCAAATACATGTTCATCTCGCTTCACTAATGGCCACGGCGCACTTTTCAACAGGAACTGTCATGAGCCACACAAAATATTGACATGCACGAGAATGCGCATCACAGAGATAATAAGTCCTTTAACCCAAAAGAAATCCACGGATCATAGACAAATACACATTCTTCATCTAGCTTACTCCCACAGTATGATCTCCAACAGAATCTCATCCAGCATAAAATGGCAACGTAAATAAGAACACCATTAGCGAGAACTGCACATATAAAACTCAGATACGATCAGTAATCTGCTATTTCAAACAATAAAAAGAAAAGAATAAAGGCATACTACCACACTTTACATCTGGAAATCTAAGAATAACCAGAGCAGAAACCATCTAAGAAGAAAGGCATGCTGCCATTTCAAACTCAGATACGATCATTTGATCTTCATAAGAAACTAGGGATAGCAAAAAGCCTTCTCACAAGAGTAATTAAAAAACAACAACAAACACTCAACACATAATTTATAAGTTCCATCACTGCCTTTTTTTTTCTTTTTCTTTTTTGGGTGTAAAAAGAAATCATTTTACAGAGCAAGGAGAATTTACAAACAGGAGGATGAGCCACTCTCGTCATATGACAAGACAAAAAAAAAAAACTATGACAAAGCTCTACAACATCGGGGCATGTTGACTAAAGACACCCCAAAAGCATCATCAACAAAAAAGGATGTGCAAGGAATGAGAGCTGTTTTTCCTGAAAATTTTCAGTCTGTTCATCCCAAATGACCCTAATCAGAGCAAACGTACTACACTTCCATGTTCTAAAAAGGAAGAATTGTTTCTATCGCTGCATTATTCTTTAGACTTTGAGACTCTGGTGGCTTAGATCCAGCATTGTGCCTTGAGTCAGAGGCAACACCCTCAGTATTTATTGTTGGATACTTAAGCATGCCATAATTCGCTGGATTTCCTATTACATCCTAGTAAGACGCAAGACATATAATCACCTCACACTAGGGAGACAGATTTTCAGAACTGAAGATAGATATCAAAAGACTTTATTCTATAAAAAATGGAAAAAGGAAGCAGAAGGTACTTACCCATAAGATTGCGATCGGGACCTGGATGGACTACGACTGTTGGCCCTCGGAGTCCTTGATCTGCGAGATGCATGGTAGCTTTCCTCAGGGCTTAGTGAGCGCTGGTCTGCCCAGTAGTCCCTCCCATCTCGTGGAGAACGAGAGCGTGTAATGGATCTTGATCTCTGTGGAGAGCGATAATCATCCTTCACACTGCGATCCCTGTGTCGCCATGAAAAAAAGGATATATAAAAGAACTTTCCAAAATAAATGACTAGATCAATGATGATCCTAGACAAACAAAACAGCAATTTGAAGCATGTCTACTCCAGCATATAATAGACCTGTCTGAATTTGTGGGCTCCATAAATAAAGCAATTTCAGCATGCACTCATCCATTTAAATAAAAGACAGATGACTTGTTTCTAGAGAAATGAATTTTCTGCCTACAGGTTCATTGAAAATCCAATTGATCAAAATATGACCGTTACCTGCACCTTTTCAGGATTTCTGAACAAAATTATGATACTTGCATCCAAACAATTGACAGTTGGGCTCTCTATTGATCAGCATCCGATAACTTCATAGCTCTCTTTGCCCCAACATTCTAAAATCTCAAATTATCTTTTTCTTGGACATTGCATCATATCTCTACCAGTAAAACTTTGAATTGCTTTCCTTCTTTGAAGATGATTTCTTTCTTTGGCCAAATATAAGCTTTATATTCTTTCTTAACTGGATAGTATATGCAAAACAAGATATCAAACTTAACAAATTTCCTTATTAAAAAGTTGCTCTAAAGTTTTATATGAAAAATAAAAGAATGAATACCCCGTGATTCTAGTCATCTCTCACACCGAGTTTGGCTATAGACCAATTCAACTGTAGTAAACCTCACCAACGCAAAAGTCAAAGAATGGGAAATCCAAATGCAGTTTGTAGAGAATAGCTGGTGAGGGTGACATTATGGACAAAACTCATTGATAGGCTTTCATTAAAACATAAGCATGTTGTCCATCACTTTATGAATTCTTTTTGGCGTTAATCTTTTTTTATCATCTCCTGTTTCACTTTACCATCTGCAGAAACAAGGCCACCATAACATTCAAATTCATTGAAACACGTGCAATGTCAAGTCTAGGAAACAAAGATTCTCTCTGCACCAATGCTAAAATGACTATGAAATGGTAGGCCATCGAGGCAATAGAATTGGGCTTTACCATTTTGAACTTTTTTTTATGACCATAAACTGAACCTCTAAATTTTCACAATCCTGAGCAAATGGTTTCCTTAAAAGAAATTGAATGACGATAACCCAAGATGTGAATTCAACAGTAAATAGGATCTGAATATCACTAAAAATATAGAATATTACAGCTCTGGACAACAAAAATCATTGATTTCTATTAGAAAGCATATGTTGTAAAATATCAAAAACAGAAAAAGAAAAAGAAAGGGAAATAAAGAAAACAAATAACAACCTCCTCTGGACCAAAAAAAAAAAAATGAACTAATGCATCACTACATCTTGACGGTGATAATCACATTGTTCGTTAGATGTGTGGGGAGTACATCCCACGTAAACCCACAATCACATGGGCTACGTAAGGTTAAATTCAGCTGACTAATACTATTACATAACAACTAATACTATTAAATTCAGACTATTCATGGGACACTTTAATGCTCCATCTACTTCATGGTTCATGGAAAGATATACAGCAATCATCTATGATTTCATGCTGCTGTTCCTAAGGTTAAAATTGTAATATCTCCCTAAACAAAATGAAAAGCACACACGTCACCAAAAAGATATCCGCAGCTTAATCTCATAAAAATAAAGCTGATATGCAAAAGCTTATGGTTGTACGATATAATTCACTAGCATTCAAAAACAAACAAATCTTAACGTATGTAAACAACTGTTGCAAAGAGATAAGAGAAAGACAGGAAATGCCATGACAAGAACTTGCAACCGCATCACACATGATGCAAAACAGATTCTGAAAAAATAAAATCAAACCTCAAATCATGCCTAGCCAGTGAAGGTGAGCGCGAGTAAGCTGCCAATAAAAAGTTCCACAGTTCATCAAAATTATTCAAGAAAAAAATCATTAATTTCAAAACAGTTCACTTCCATGATAAGTTTTAGATAGAACCCCATAAACTTGAACAAGATCTTGTTAAAGATGTCAGATAAATGAACAAGGGAAAGTTTGAACTAACAACGATATCGGTATCTTGGGGACCTTGGTGGTGTTCTCCCTCTGTAGCTGCCTCCGTGTCGATCACTATAAATAAAAATTAAAAAGAATCAGTAAGCTAATGAAGTAAAAGTTCTGTTTCTGTTGAACATAAAAAATGATACAACAAGAACTGAATAACTATGAATCAATGTCAAGTAAGTTATTGCCACACCTTGAGCGAGTAGTCCTGCGCATTTCTTGAGGTGTTTTTCTGTTCTCCTCAGCAAAAACAATTCTTATCTCACGTCCACCAATACTTTTGTGGTTCATCCGTTGCTTTGCTTCAGCTGCATCTTCAGCATAACGGTACTTCACAAATCCAAACCCTCGAGGTTCCCTATAAATTCAGGTAAAAGCAACACAGTAATCATAAAAAAATTAACCAACATGCCAAAATGATAAGTATTATGATTGAGAAATAAAGCGTAGAAGCACCAGCATCAACATGTCGGGCAATTGATCATTACCCAGTGTAGTAATTCTTGGGCAGATAAATATCTTTCAAGGGACCAAATTTCTCAAATGGCCCCCTAAGATCTTCAGGCCTGCAGAACATCACACGACCAGTAAGTTTTTCACTTCAATAAATAATTCAACTGACAGGAATCATATATTCGAAATTCAGTTTACAAAAATTCAACAAATTGCTAATGAACTTAATTAACAGCATAAGAACTCTCTCCCCTCTAAATTAACAGTTAAAGTATTAAACAATAATTGAAACAATTGAAAAGGTAATGATACGAGTAAAATCACCTAAATAAATAAATAAATATTCAGAATTCAGTTCACACTTGTTACCGAAGATGACGTCATTAGTTAATGAACTTAAATAGTAGCATAAAAACTCTCCTCGAGCCGAATTAACTAGAGAAAATTGCAAACGAAATTAAACAATAGATGGAGAAAGAGAAAGCGAAGGACCTGGCGTCGAGAGGGAGATTGCGAATGAGTAAGCCAGAGGGAGCAGGAGAGCGACGGTCACGGTAAGACCGGCTGTCACGGTGACGATCTTCGTCGTCGTATCGCTTTCGGCTTCGAGGAGGGGTTCGGCTACGGCGACGAGGACTGTAGCTTCTGCTCCGGCTTCTGTACCTGGGCATTGTTGTTTAAATTGGTGAGATTGTTATTATAGGAAGGAAGAAGAGAGATTTTTTTGGGTATATAGATGACAAAACCCTAACCCTAGAGGGGTTAGTGTGGGTTTCGAAAGTTTTGGAGGGAGAGAGCGGAAAATAACAAAGAGGAGGAGCGGTAAGTAGGTAATGTTCATCAAAAGAAAGAAAATGAAGATTACTCAAGTCTCTCTACTTTCAATTTTTAGTCATATTCATCCCTCTGTATGATTTTGGTCTTTGACGACTCTTTAACCCACGGGTTAGTACTTATTCATCCCTTCGTTTAATCCATTAGGTAAGTACGTGAAATTTAACTAACGTTTAGTTGGACTCGAAAATATGGTTATGATCATGCTATATATACGGTTTATGATAAACAAAAACAAATAATTCATTAAATTCTTAAAAGAAAATATTGGATAAAAAAACAATTTAGTTAATGATGATATGGTCAATATATTTTAGTTTTTTAGATTCGAGATTTTGATTGTAATTACAAATGTTGATGTAGTTATATGTCGCAATTAGAGATGGCAATGGATTGATTACAAAATAATTATCATGTCCAATCAACTCATCAATTACTCTTTTAAAATACATTAATGAGTAACGTGATAAATATAAGTAAAATAGTAGTACCCATTTATGTTAATTGACGATTTATTCAGAAATACGGATATCCTTTTTTATCCTATTGATAACTATCATTTACCCATTAGAATAAAAAAATACTAAAACACAAAATTTTAAGATATATACACAAAATTTTAAGATATATATATATATATAAAAGAAAGCACCACAATTCAAGAATCACTGCAGACTTTAGATTGTAGCTCACACATTAGTGCCCTCTATCATCTCAATTTAAGTGCACAACCAAACCACTCATCCACTTTCAAACGTCTTCCTCTCCTCCATCATCGAACCACCTCCACTCACTTTTTCACTCGCTGAGCCAACATTGCAGAGCAATCTATTCTTTGTGGAATAGCACATAGCTCCAATCTTTCTCTATAGTACCTATCATAAGAAAATGAGCTTGGTTAGTTTCTTTCTTGTTTGATTACTTAGATATATTTAGTCATTTTCATTGATTTGCATCCTATTAAACTTGCAATTGAAAGTTTGAAATAGAAATGTGGGACCGGTGCATTAAAAAAAAAAAAAAACTAATCATAATTTACACAACAACTCGTTTGATGCAATGCCAACCAATAAATTGTATGTTCTATAAGCCTATCGAATCCACGTGATAGACAAACCATTTATAAATGATTTTCATGTTTTGTTGAGATTTATTACAATGGAAATTCATCTTATTGTCTTATCTTTACCCTTAATCAATATCAATACAAAGCCCACTAATTAATCAATTTGAAATCCCTATATCATTGGCATGGTGGCTTAGAGTAAGTAAATAAATTCACTTTCAATTGATTCTAAATTTCATGCCTTCGAGCATCCATGTAAAATGAGAGTTCACTCTCTCCAAGGGGACACACCCCAACAGTTAAAACTTAGGATTTCCACTTAGGGTTATCTCGGTTCAAATCCATGGATAGGTGAGGGTCGTTGATTCTCCCATTGAACCAAAAAAATACGAGTTTCTTTTCTAGTTTTAATTTTAGCAATGTTAGCCAATAATGTTAGCGTGGTGATTAAGGTTATAGGAAATTTGCATGGCAAAAGAATGAATATTATAATAGACATTGGCAATGTACACAATTTTATGGATTTGAATTTTCTAAAGAAAATCACTACCGATTGGTTAAGACTAAAACAATAATAATTAAAGTAACGAGTGGTAGAGACATTGTCCGTGAATACATATGCAAAAAAATTAAATGAAAGATGTACAGGAAGGTTTTTGAAACTATATTTTATGTAGTGCTTTTAGGTATGTATAAGATGATATTATAAGTGGCATGATTATATGCATTAAGATATATAACTTAGAATTTGAGACAGGAGTGGAAGAGTGTTAAGAAAGATGGAAGATTATTTTTATTGAAAGAAAAGTGTGTAAATTTAATCAAGAGTGATGACAAGAAAGAGATTAACAAGACTATTTGTAAACATCGATCAATAAACTAGTTGTCACCGAACCAAGTGATTGAATCTATAAAATGGAGAATAAAAAACTATAGAGTGGAAATAAAACATCTAGTTCTAATAGAAAACTATGAGGTAGAAGTAGAATATCAAGTTCTAGTAGAGTGTGCATGTGTTTGTGTGTTTTAGGCACCACAAATGATTTAAGGCACTTCTATTTTGTCTTTTTTTTTATGCTTGGTTTTTAATCAAATGTTTTTAAAATTGATAAAATTACAAAAAAGGACAATTAGAATAGGGTTGAGTGCTTTTGATTTAAGAGACACAAATATCATTTAACGGTAAAAATCTTTGTTATCCTCATTTTATTACCATCAATTATATCATATCATTATTATTTACTATAATTATTATTATATTTCAATAATAGAACAATCCTCATTAACTTGACATTGCTATAACAATTATCATCATTATTAGTATTATATCAATTATTACCACATCGTCTGCTACTAGGAGCGAGCAAAATTCATTTTTAACCAAAAAAATACCAAAATAATTTTGATGTTTTATTTTTAAAAAATCACATTCGATTTAATCAAAAATTGTTTTTTACATATAAAAGGCAAATGAAAAAATCCTAACCTAATATAAACCATATCGGTCTCCATCGTTCTTCTATTTCTTTTTCTTTATACCTCCTCTTCTTCTCCTCCCACTTCTTTGCTCCTCGTCTTCTTCTCTTTTCCTTTCTTCTCCCACAGTCCACACTTAACAAATAGCCACACCTAAACATAACCCTTTATTCTTCTCCTTCCTTTTTTACGCCTTCTTGCCTTTTCTTTACACTCGTCAAACTATGCATCCTTCTTTGCAACCATTGGGTTTTATAAAAAAGGAGTTTGTTATCATGATTGTGAAGAGAAAGAGATGAAAAAAGTTTGGTTATTGTAAAAGTATTTAGTAGATCAATTATATCTCGTTGAATTTGTGTATTAGTGTGGTGAAGAATTTGATGATGATCAAGATGGTCAAAATGATCATCATGATTATAATCTTAATACTTCTATTTTGAGTTGGTTTTTTATACATTTTTTTTTTAATTTGGTGTTTTATGTAAATTTACATTTTGCGTTTGAAGTTGTTGATGATGTTATTAATTAAAGTTTGAGGGATCTAATTAATTTTAGGATTTCTTAATCTAATTTTAATTTTTGAGACTTCTAGACATTTTTTTTTAAATTTTATTGGCATATAAAAATTTGTGCAAATGTAACTTTTTCTTCTCTTTTTCAAGTTTAAAAATTTCAAAAATAAAAATTCAGTTTAAATCAAAAAAATCAAATATCGAAATTTTAGTTTTTTTAAATGAAAAACTAAATCTTGATTCAATTTGATTTTTGTTTTTGACGACTAAATTAACTGAAAATCAAATTAAAATTATTTGAAATCGAGCCAAAAAATCGTTTGCTCGACTTTAGATATTATTGTCATATCCTATAATTTCACCACTATAATGAAATATATAATATTATTACTTTTTATATTTTAAATAGTAATATATTTTCATATTTCATAAACTAAATTAAGCATGGATACGACCTTTTTCTTCATTTACCTTTATTAAAAAAAATAAACAATTTTAAAAAACTATAATCAACAAATAACAAATAGTTTTTGAATTTCTAAATACAAAAAAATGTACAAAATAAACCCCTAATACGTGTAACGAGATAATTTTTAAAATCATTTCTATAATCATATCATAGAGTGACAAATAATACTCATCAAGGATCACAATTTGAACCATCAATCAAAATTGTACCATCTCAACTTCCCGCCAACAATCTCATATGTTAACAACAAATTTGAGGCTTGATTTAAAAGATGATTGCAAAGGAGTGTTTTAACTAAATAAGATACTTTTAAATCTTATTTTTCAAATTAGATTTTTTTAATCTTATTTGCCAAAATATGACACTTTTTTCCACATAGGTCCAATAATCTATGCATGTTAGTTTTTTTTTTAACCGTTAAATTCGCTAATAATTTTAAAATTGTTTTACAAAACTCTAGTTTATAAAAGAAAAAATTGATTAAGAAACAAACACCATTAGCAAGTACACTATTTTTATTAGTTATGATCGCTAGAGAAAATCAAACACTAGTACACCCAAACTCACCAGCTCATCAATAGGATTCGAAACAATTACTCTAGTAAAGCTAAAATAAATTTTTTGAATGATCAATTAGCAATTCTATCCCTACTCGTTTCACGTTAAAAATATCAACATTAAGAATAATTAAATAGCACCCCTCAACCAAATCCTCTATAGTTAGCATCAATAATCCTAACACCACCATCTATACCATGCCTTAATGCCAAGCTAGATCGCAAGTGCTTCATAGCATTAAAAAAACCCCACTTCAAATGTGTAAAAAAATAAAATAATAATAAAATAAAAACTCCATGACTATCAAAATATAATAGTTAGTAACAACTAAGTTTGTTATTTGAAGAGATCATAACCTACGGATAGAGGTGAACCTGTAGAAGGCAAAATGACCTTCTTTGATAACTTTTTGACCCCGAATAAAGAACCATTACTTTGATGAACAACTATTTCGTTGTGAGTTTGATCAAGTTTTGGGATTTTGGGTGTGAGTTCATTGAATTCAACTCCATTTCTTTGATGATTTTGTTGATTTTTAGAGAGGGAGAGATTGCTAATGGAATTTATGTTCTTAAAGGTTTATTTGTTTTGGTTTTACTAAAGCAATAATTATTTTTTAATCTTATTGATGAGTTGGTGGTTTAGGTGTACTAGTGTTTGATTTTCTTAAGTGATCATAACTCATGAAAATGGTGACTTGCAGTGTTTGTTTTTGGATCGAGGTTTTTTTATATGAACTAGAGTTTTGTATAAAATTTAAAACAATTTTAAAATTATTAGTAAGCTTAGTAGTAAAAAAGAAAAACAATTAACATGTGCAGATTATTAGATATAAGTGGCAAAAATTGCCTTATTTTGACAAATAAGATTAAAACAACTTTGTTTTGGCAAATAAGATTTAAAAATATTTTATCCGTGCAAAACATTCAACTACAATGTGTTACATTGATATTAGAATCTTTTTTTGGTAACTTTTATTGGGCATTCAATATTTCCACAAATGTTTTTTTTTGTTGCTCAATGGTATAATACCTCAAATTATTGAGTTTGTGATAAAATAAGATTTATATTATCAATTTTAGTTATTATTAATTTTTAGACAAATTTTATAATTTTTTATTATGTATAAAGGATTAATTGAAATATTTAAAATGAGATTTTTTTAACATTTTTTTTAGAACTGAAATTAACTTTGAAAAATAAATAAGTCATTTAGTTTTTTTCACTAGATAAATCCATTATATATCATTAATCATTTAAGAACAAAAATCAAATCTATAAACAACAAAACCATCTAAACTTTTTTCAAGCTACTTATAATTAAATATTTTTTTCAAAATTAATTTTAATTCCTAAAAAGAAAAAAATTGGAATGCTTAAAATCTAAATAATTTAAATCGATGAAATAGATCTTGTTTTATTAAAATCTCAATAGTTTTGAGGATAAATAATGCCTTCAAATAAATGCTTTTTATGACTTTGGCAGTGACATACGTGCCACTGAATGCTTTCAGTACTAATATAGCAAAACAGAATAACACTTATTATTTATTAACATATTAAAACAGAGTGGAAAGTACTGTTTGATGCACAGTGGATTTTACTGTTTTAAGTTTTTTTTTTCTTTTTTTGGTAGGTTTGTTGTCGAGCACATTTACTATGTTGCCCTTTGTTTTTCTTGCTCGTGTTTTCTAGTCCACGCCTCAGAAGTGGGATCTGGCCTTTCCATGCGTCCGAGAGGCACAAGTAAATTTGTCTGGCTATTACTTCAAAAAAAAAAAAAAAAATCCGCTTTTTCGGGAGAGACATGTCATCATTGCATTTCGTCATTTCTTTTTGACAAAGATACTTCAACTTCCAACTCCACTCGCGTCTACCACACGCCATCTCTCACCAAAACCTTCATTGAACTCGGATTAAGGGAGTGGGCAAATGATTTGAAGATGTAACAACTTTTTATTTATTTATTTATTTAAAAAGTTCGAATTGAAGATTTATTGAAAGAAGAGGAGCACTCATGTGATTTTATCCAAGTCTTAATGCTGTAAACACCATTAATATACCTTTTTATTAGTTTTTATTTTCTTAATATTTTTGACAATTGAATATCGTTATAAAAAAATCCCTTAAAATTTTAAAATTATCTTAACACATGTCCTTAGAATTTATTTGAGAAAAATTCTTTTAGTGTAAGTTAGACAAAATTAGCTGGCAATTTTTTTTAATTGTCCCCCGTGCTTTCTTATTTAATCGATGATAATTATTGTTGCAAGATTGAAAAAAATATTTTTCTTGAAATCCACCTAAAAAGAAACTATTGCAAATTGATTCTTGTTAGTTATAAATGCTCAATCTCATGAAGGATAAATTTATCTTGCTGGTATAAACAACCTTTGTCAAAACAGCATTCATTGATTTCAACAATCATGCAACTTACACACTAAAAATCATTCCTTTAAATTTCTCATTCTATCTTTTTAGATCCAATCCCGGCGACGTTTACCTGTACCTTAGCTGTCTCGACAAATCATGTTTAACAGCGCGTGCAGCGAAAGGATCGCGCAACTTTGTTGTCATATTCCATGTCGTCACTATATCCTCATTTTTCAAAGAATCAAACAAACTGCTTCAACGACTTCGATTCACCACCTACCCAACCAAAAAACCCAACCACCAGACTTTTGAATTTCCGTCTCTTCTACGCCAAAAAAAAAAAAAACCCCAATTCCAAAAACCTAGGGTTTTATATCTTTATTTCCTCCTCTAATCATGGAAGCCTCTTCCTCCTCTCCTCCTCCTCCTCCTCCTCGACCACAACCCGGCTGCGACATGGAAATCCACCATCCTCCGGTCACCAGCGATTGGGACTGGGGTGATCTGTTGGACTTCACCGTAGACGATCAATTCCCTTTATCTTTTGACACTGTTGGTGACGTCACCCAAACTATTGACAATCCAACGTCAGAAATTGAGTCTCAACATGTTCAAGTTCCTGTTTCTGATCGGGTAAGGAAGCGAGACCCGAGATTGACTTGCTCCAACTTTCTGGCGGGTCTGATACCGTGTGCATGTCCGGAGATGGATGCATTATTACTAGAGGAAGAGTCAGCTATGCCTGGAAAGAAACGGGTGAGAGTTGCTCGGGCTGGGTGGAGTATTGCTAGGTGTCAAGTGCCGGGTTGTGAAGTGGATATTAGTGAACTCAAAGGGTACCATAGAAGACACAGGGTTTGTTTAGGGTGTGCTAATGCTACTGCCGTTGCACTTGATGGGCAAACTAAAAGATACTGTCAACAGTGTGGCAAGTTAGTATATTTGCAATCAAATTTCTGTGTTATATAAAAAAATCGAGCTCTTATTTTGTGTGACATTTGGTGGCAGGTTTCATGTGTTATCGGATTTTGATGAAGGGAAAAGGAGTTGTAGAAGGAAGTTAGAGAGGCATAATAATAGGAGGAGAAGGAAGCCAGCTGAGTCTAGTAAAGGTGGTGCAGGTGATAAGGAAGTCCAAGGGGATTTGCCAACTGAAGATACTACTTGTGATGCTGAAGCTGAGAAAAAAGGTTTTTCTTTTATATACATTATCCTCTCTGCTGTTTGTGTATGTTGCTTGTTGAGGTCTTATTGTTTGAATTTTCTTTGTTGATAATTTGCTTATTGATGGCTGACTTTAGTCTGCTTTGGAGCCTGGACTTGGGTTTGGAATAGGATTCAGATACCTATTATGAATAGGGTTCACATTTTAATTCTATTTGAAATTAAAAGTGCCGGTCTTAGGATCATAACATTACTGAAGGAAGGGAATAATTTATCACAGTTATACTACAGTATCCCATTCTATTTGGAATATAAGTCCCTCTTATGTGCTGAAGCAAAAGATTTTTAGTCAAGGAATTGGAAAGAGATTCATTTTCCATTTCCAATTTCTAAGTGTACCAAGTGTGGCATTTGGTGTGCGGCCTAATGTATTGTATGTGGTGCAGATGGTATGTGCTCCAGTGGTCAGATGGTGGAGAAAGAAGGTTTGGTTGAGTCTGAAGACGGACATAATTCAAACTTGCACTCTGATCCTAATTCTCAAAATGTTAATAGTGACAGTGGAGTATCTTTCACTGTTTCCGGGGATGCACAAATTGATGGGGGAAAAGATGATTCCAAATTTTCAATTTCTCCCTCACATTGTGACAATAAGAGTACTTACTCATCCATGGTTGGTCTCTATTATTTTGTGGATTCCATGTGTTTGCATGCTTGATTTTGTTTCTTTTATTAGTATAATTCTTTTATTTTTGAATTTGTGGAGGTGTAGTTGATATAACCTGATTTGGAATTTTTCTTGTAGTGCCCGACAGGTCGGATCTCATTCAAGCTTTATGATTGGAATCCAGCAGAATTCCCTAGAAGGCTTCGACACCAAGTATTTTAAAGATTTACTGTTACAGTTTAGTATTTGAATGAGAACTAATTCATATATGATTAAGGATATCAGGAATTGGTTGACAGGTGGTAACTGTATTTACAGATATTCCAATGGTTGGCCAGTATGCCTGTTGAGTTGGAGGGATATATTCGGCCGGGATGCACTATCCTGACTGCATTTATTGCGATGCCAACATTTATGTGGGTGAAGGTGATATACTAGATCCCATCTACAATAATCTCTTTTAAGGTTTAGATGAATTTAAAGTTTTTTATTTGATGCTATCTACGATAGTGCATATGCATGCTCGTTGTTATAGGTAGATCTACAAATAATGTGCGATTACCCCATTTCATTTTAGATTTTATTTTAAGCACCTTTTATTAGTGAATCAACAACATTACTAGTCCCTCTATTTGTTATTTGGATTTCCTTGCATGCATAAATGTCTAGGCAGATATAAATTTTCATATCCATAATCTCAAGGCTGAGAAATGAGAGCGTTTATTTATTTTCATACACATAGATGTTGAAGTCTCCAACAAGGCAGATCTCTACAGTTGTTAATTTATGCACATTGCCAAATGAGCACAACCGATCACAAAACTTCCCACTATTGATCATTAACACATGCATTCGTTCTACCTCTGTTTTCTCCTTTTTTTTTTTCCTTTCAAAGCCAAAGTTATCATTGCCCAAGCATGGTAGTCAATTTCCATCAGGAATAACTTGTGCACTACTCTGATTTTTGAGTTAATCCTTGCCCATCTGCTTATGAGAAGCTTGATCCAACCATTCACAGTGTCATATGATGATATTTATCCTATACTACATTTAAGTATTTAATTTGTCTTGGGTGTAATAACTAATCTTTTTCACGTGCTTTAACAAAATGGTCATTGCTGATGCTTAATTGCAGATACCATTAATTCCATCAAGTAATAGTTTAGTTTAAAATTGTTAGGATGCCATGAATGTTACTCTTATATTCCTTTTCTTTTTTTTCTTTCTCCATTAATGGGTTGTGAATTTTAATTGATTCTACACAATATTTTAACTTCGATCTTTTTCTGTATGAAGCAGTTATTTGAAGATCCTGTGTCATATTTGAACAACCTTCTTGGTAGTGGAAAAATGCTGTCTAAAAAGGGCCGTATGCGTGTTTATCTGAATAACATGATCTTCAATGTCACAGAAGGTATGATGTATGTTTCATTCTTAATGTTCATATATTACAACAGGGTATTGTACCTAAAGTATGCTAGAACAAAATTAATTCAGACAACTAACCATGATCAACTGAAAGCCCCCTCTTAAAAATGGTTCTGTTCTTTATTCCTTCTCAATTAGTTGTTCATTTCATTTTTTTAATCACTCAACATTCTAATGACCTAGATGGAAATTCCGTGAAGAAAGTCAATGTGGAAGGGCATGCCCCAAGACTTCACTATGTTCATCCTACATGTTTTGAGGCTGGAAAGCCCATAGAGTTTGATGTTTGTGGAAGTAATTTATTGCAGCCCAAATTTCGGTAAGGACTTGTTTTTACTATTGATCATTTTTTAGCATTTTTCAAGTACCATTTTGCTACAAACAGGTTTTTTCTTTTTCATTTTAGATTCTCAATATATTGAGAGATGTTAATCAAATGGGGTTCTTCAGGAGTTTATATGCTATGTTTTATAATAATTTGTGGCATTTCAAATTGACTCGTAAGTGTGTTTCGTACTTGTATGTGATTGTTGCCTGTCAGTCACATTTTTAATTCATTGGAAAAGTTGCCTTGAGGCTGGAAATTATTGTTTATGATCACTTGGAGTTAGTTCTTCATGCTTGATCATATACTCCAACATCCTCAATTAGTAGACAAGAAGTCAGATCTCCATTAGCACGGCATAGAATCCTCTGGCTATGAGCCTATGACCCATTTTCCTTATAAATAATTATTTATTTGTTGTTTTAAGGATGAAATCAGCTCCCTGACATGAACACCTTAATTTAATAAATGCTGATTTTGTTTCACAAGGCAGCCAGGAAGAAGTTTGTATCACTTGTTGCATCTCTGGTGCATGCAGATGATGCTATCAGAACTAAAAAAACATTTTCTCAGCATCAAACTATATACTATTCTGGTGGAACTCATTTGTACATGATGCATTATTTTTTTCTCACTAAATAGTTCTTGGCAACTGCATCTCGTTTTCTTTTGCAGTTAATGGAGGAATGTCTTATTAGTTTTTCACTTTCTGGTTGCACTATGCTGGAAATTCATTATCACATATCAGGCTTTGGTTTTTGTATTCCTCCTGATGATAATAGCCTTGCTGCTCAGCTCCAAGCCAAAAACATACAAGTTGCATGCTGGAGTTCCCTTGAGCATCTCTACCAGTATTAAGTAGAATAACTATGTGTGTAAGATGATATTATCCTACAAACTATAGTGAGAAAAGAGCCATTTGTCAATCGAATAATTGATAATTGGCATTTCTGTTTTTTGATGTATCATCACCCTTTGACATCTTAATACATTAGTGTCAAATGTGCCTGAATCTAATGCAGTTTGAATCACAAGGGGAAGGATGTCTGTATTTAAATTCATTTGTATTGTCTCTTTTAACTTTGTATTTATTAACTTAAGCTTTCTATAACTCATGTGCATCTTTTATTCCGTTTCTTCTGCATGCTAATATACGTTATGATTTTCTTTTTCTGCCAAGTTCTATTTTTTCTGTTCCTATAAAGATGATTTTGATGGCAGATTTCTGGTGTCTTTTGCTGGGAAGTATCTTGCGCATGATTATTGTCGTTGCGTTACCACAAGTTCATACCAAAGGAGGTTCAGGTCTTAACCATCAGTTGTACAAAATACTCACTAGTTGTATTGAACCTAATCTCTTAGGTCCGGCATTTATTGAGGTATGAATCATGTTTTTTTTGCATGTTCCACTGTCTATTGTTTCTTTTAACAAAGGGGCATTTGACTGTGTTTGTGAAGTGTTGGAGGACCTTCCAGTCTACATTTCTCTTTATATGATGGTCTTTTATGTTTTGACATATTCAAAATGAACAAGGGGATCATATCTTTTTCATGCATTGTGTTTTACAATAGCGTCGTGTGTGCTTTTTGCCCATTCGTTTTCCTTTTCTGGAAGTAAAATCAATTTGTTCTGAGATGCCAAAATACCACCTGGAGGCTGAGGTGTGGAATAATATGGTGGTCACGTAGTTCCTTCAGAGGTCCTAAGTTCAGATTTCCTTTAAATTTTCAAAACCAAATTGGTTTATTTTTCTTAATAAATATATAATTTCTAACGCGCATTTGTTATGGTCTGATATGGTATTTAATCCAGTTTCAAGGGCAATATATTCGAACTTATATCTTTGCGAGTGATTGTGAAAAAACATTTTGGACTGACAAAAATGTCAGATGCTAGGTTAACAACTTAGGAACTTTGCATCTGTGTTGCCGCCAGTCCAATGCCAACTCACTCTCTCATACCTATGAATTCTTAAATTCACCACCAAAATCCTTCCTTGTTTGTGGAGCCACTCTGCAGCTATTTATACGGTTCTTCTGGTCTTGTCATTACGTTGATTATAAGGGTTGTTCAGGTCTTGGGACTAGGTTGCTGCATCATGTTACCTTGTGCAACCACTGGGCTATTGGTTGTATAATGGGTGCTTATTTTGGAATTCCTTAGTCTGAAACTAGGTGTAGCTGATTTTGTTTAAACAGTATATTTCTAGTTATACAGGTCGATTGGAGCATTTTGGAAATGGTTTTTCACTACAAATGTGTTTTGCAGGTTGAGAATGAGAGTGGCTTATCAAACTTTATTCCTGTACTTATTGGGGACAGAGAAATTTGTTCTGAAATGAAAATAATTCAGCAAAGATTAGATGCATCTCATTCATTTGGCGCAGAGTGTGAGGTTTCTACAACGAGACAAATGGCATTTTCGGACTTTATTACGGACATTGCTTGGTTTCTAAAGGAGCCTTCAGCAGAAAATTCTCAACAAACAATGACTTCTTTTCAGATTCAAAGAATCAATTCTTTGTTGAATTTCTTGTTACACCATGAATCAATCATCATTTTGGTTAAAATTTTAAAAAGCCTGAAGATCATGATGAACAAAATGGAGGTCGATATTAATAATGGCACTAGTGATGCTAATATGAGGCTATTGCAGAGTTACATGGATTACGCGAGCAATATTCTTCATGAAAAACTTGAGAGAAGTGAAGTTTTGAAGCATCACTTGGAATATTCTGGACAGGAAAACAATTGCATTTCAGGAAGCTGCTGTGGAAGTGACATGTCGTCAGGTGCTCTCTCTAGTGAGGTAAGAGTTCCAATGTTTATCAGTTCCAAGTTTTTAGGTATGTGTTTGGTTTTGTCATTTAGGATTGAAAGCTTATGGAGTTTTATGTTAATTTATTATTTCATTGACTGCTGATTTTTTTCTTTCTGTGGGGTTGTTGGTTGATAACTTGTCATATTGAATTTAAGAAACAAATCAATAAAATTATCTGCACTTAGAGCAAGAGGCAAAAGAAATTTGGTTGATTCCTGAGCTTTGACTCTTGCAAATTCTGGAAAATGCAATATCACTATGACTCATTATCTTAAAGAACATTGCAGTGATTTTTCTTGGCAATTTGGTATCTGTCTCTCTCTTTTATTTGAAATCAGCTTGTTTTGAATAGGTTGGCTATGGTGCTGGTCCTATTTTCAGGCTACCTTTTTTATTAGTATCCTTGTGGTGAATGCATTGGCAAGAAGCATCAAAAACTTGTTATAACATGCTTTTGAACTGCTTTGACCATTTAGTCCCCAAAGTACCAAAAATTTTAAATTTTGATCTAGTTTGAGAAAAACAGCAAGGAGATGTTTTTGCAGCTGCATCTTCAACCCAAAGGAAGTTTGATTTTATTCTTTCTCTTTTTTCATTTTTGATAATTTTTCATCATTTTACTTTCTTCTAGCGGAGCCGTATATTATTGTTCAATGCAGTGCTGCATCTACCTACCATATTTTGTATAGTAGCTACATCTCTGTCTCACGTTGTTTGATTATGCAGTGCTTTGTTGATGCCTTTTTAATCTCTTGAAGGATCATATGAATTTTCTTTATTTGCAGAACTTGGGGCAAAGACCAAGTGGTGGGTTGGCAGTAGTGGAAAACTCCAATTCTATTGTTAGAAGCGATGAGTTGCCTCTTTTGAATAGAGATGTTGTTATGACGATGAACCTTATCAACGAAAGGCCAAAGAAATCATGCGGTTTTGTTTTCTCTAACAAAGTCTTAAAGTATCGTCCTTCAGTGTTTGTAATTGCTATTATTGCCGTTTGTTTTGGAGTATGTGCCATTCTTCTCCACCCTCATAAGGTTAGCAAACTTGCAGTATCTATACGCAGGTGCTTGACAGAGAGATTTTAGATGTTAAGTAAGTCTCCAGATTAAAATGCCCCCTCTTTATTGCTGCTGGCTCTGTACATTCCCCCATACACTGTTAGATTGAATTAAGTATCGTCCTTCAGTGTTTGTAATTGCTATTATTGCTGTTTGTTTTGGAGTATGCGCCATTCTTCTCCACCCTCATAATGTTAGCAAACTTGCAGTATCTATACTCAGGTGCTTGACAGACGGTTTAGACGTTAAAGTCTCCAGATTAAAATGCCCCTTCTTTATTGCTGGCTCTGTACATTCCCCTGTACACTGTTAGATTAAATTAAGTCCCCTAAAGCTTTAGAATGCGGTTCGATCTCTGACTTTCGAGTGTGCCAGGCTCCTATTTCTCGGTGCGGCCTTGATCCCAGATGGGCATTCTCATCAGGATAGATTCATGGCATTCCCAAGAGTTGGAGGTAACTGTAGGGTTTTGTTAGTTGGATGAGAATTCTTTGTAGGCAATATCTAATATTCTTGTATTTTCTGTTTCCTTGCATTTACAGCAGCTTTCAACCCCAAGCTCATGTATTATCTGTTTTTGCAATGATAATGATAGTATAAATAAATAGGGAGACTTTTTTTTTGTTTCCCTACACAATGAAGATGGATCATGCAAGAATGACCTCTGTATTCATTGCATCAAACTTTTCTCAGTTGGTGTTTCTTTTTGGTTTTGTTTTCGTTTTTGAAACATTGTTCATCTGAGTGATTGTGTTGCACGAGCTTGATTTTTCAGACAATAAATAAATGTTTTTGCAGAAACCTCGTTTGGAGCTCCTTTGTGTTTGTATGAAATTGTCAAATTGAACTAGGTAAATAATTCTGAAAATTCTATCTTATATATTTGTTATATTTAGTCAATTTGATCAATCTGATTTCAATTGTTAATAAAAATTCATTTGTGATGTTAAAACTAGTCGGGTGAAAAATATTAGTTAGGTGGCCTAAAATTTTGGCTAAAAAGCTTATTCATTTTTTTTTTTAATAACAATCGCAAAAATTAAGGAACAAAATGTGGATAAATAAACCAACATGTTACAGGATGTCATCTGTTTTTTTATTTTTCCCTTTCAAAATATGCGATTTAGGCGGTTTTAGTGAGAGAGTTTACGACTGTCACGTGTGTCCTACGCCGAAGTCAGATTTATTTACTTCACTTTGAAATTTTTTGTTTTTCTATAAAATTAGGGATGAGTATTCTAATCAAAATTGTGCGTCATATGCTTATGTTTTCAACAAAACAATGTTGACAATTGAATTATGGCGGATTGAAAAGTCAAAAAATAATGAATATATAGTTGAATTTGCAAAATTATTTATAAATTATGTGAGTTTGATTTGTCAATTTAGTACAAACACAAAATTTTAAAATAATGTTTTTTCGATATTTTTTCTAACAGAAAATGAAGCTCTGTTGCTATTAAATGAAGACGCACTAGATTATTCATTATATCAGCAATGTAACGATCCTTCATATTTCTATCTTTGGTTTTGTAATTTTTAAAATTGTAATGAAATGAACGATTAAAATTTGTAATGACTTATCAAATTACAATGGCACATAAAAAAAAAAAAAAAAACTATCTAATGAACCACGACATGATTAAAAGTAATCGTATGGAAATTTGATTGCAAAGACTTCATAAGAATTGAACTGTATCTTTTTAGGAAAATATAAGGGCAAAAAATATTCCAAATAAGGACCAAATTATAAATAAAATAAAATATATGAACTAATTATTATTATTATTATTATATGAAAACTTGTGAAAACCTACATTACGTCACTGAAACATTTTACAATCAACGGAAAAAAATGTGATGGATCATTCTTTATGTTACATTACAACACACTAAACATTTTATGAGTAATATTGAAATTTTTTGAAAAGTAAAAAGGAAATGAGTAGATTTTAAATTATAAGAATAGAATGGATCATTGATGAATTCATATGTCAAAAAATGAAGTTAATCTTTATAATATATAAACATGGAAGACGCCATCCAATGGTATATTTTTGGTCTAATAGTGTCAAATTAATTAGTAGATTTTAAAAAAATATATATTTTTGGATATAATATTATATTACCTTTATAATTTATAAAATGTTCCACTTAATCTGAAAATTTCCAAAACCAATCTTACATTATGTAGTTGCAATGCTAAACTATATATCATTCTTGCCTTGAAAAGAGTATACTTGACCCTTCAAGTTCTGAAAATTATGGGCTGCCTTTGTTCTATATGACTATATGCTAAAATTTTTAGCTAAAAAGGTCTCACCATCCCTACATTTTTAAGTCATTTGAAATTAGGTTTTGAAGTTTTTTTATTGGTTCTGGAGACTCATAAATTTTAGAAGTTTTGAAATCAAGTCCACCTAACATATTTTCGTTATAGATAACGAGAGATTATGCACGTGAAAGTATAAAACACACGTGGCCGACTAAATATAACATACGATGGTTGACATTTTTTTTTATTAAACCTTAATCCACTTAAACTAACATGAATTAATATCTAATTGATTTTAATTGCACTCATTCACCAACCCTTTCATTCTAACTGTTTTGTCTACCAAAGCGTTTGATATGCAAATCTTTCTCATTCTCCATCTTTAGAAGTTTTTCATCTTTCATCAAGTCATCTCGTCCCGCTCTCTCTTCCTTTATCTTCATCTAATCAATTTCTCATCCTTTACTTTTTCATCTTCATGCTAAGACTCTTTTCAGCTTGTCTTTTATTTCTGTTTCATTGTCGCTATCTCACCATTGATCGACATCAACGAAATCAAAAGTTTAACTTCCGAGGTTAGTGATATAGTTAATAACAAAACTGATTTTATGTATGGATTATGTGGTCCATTTGGGTGTTGGATTTTGAAAACTTATTTCAAAAAATAATTTTTTTGGTGTGTTGTTATGTTAGGTTAAAGGTTCATTTAGGGTTTAGCTCACAGCTTATTTGGGAAATATTCCTTGAAAACGTAATGTTTTGGATTTTTTATGTTGGGTTTATTTGGGGTTTGGGTGAGTGATAGTGATTTGTTTGGCTTGTGGGGTTTATATGGGTAGTTAACTTTTTGGCTTTTTATTAAATAATGGATTAATGTTGCATTATGGTATTTAATTATTGATTAGGGTTTTAAGATTTTAGGTTTGTTGTATCCCGTATATAGTCACTTTTAAGTTTCATTTTTTATGCATTCATTGAATAATAGTGTTCATCGTGTATAAGATGCCGATTAACTTAACGATTTATTATGAGGGTACCTAAATTTATGTCCCTATTCTTGGATACATAAAACATGAAATAGTGGAGCAATGGGTAGACTCTAACAACTTATCTCTTGTTAGTTTGAAACTATGGTCGAAGGATAAAGGTTATCACAATGTGAGAGGGTTTTTATACAAGCTTGGGCATCGAGTCTTGGAGAATGGAGTTAGGGTTATGAAAGATGAGAACCACTTGATGGAAATTAAAACCTACATTGAGAAATTTAGGAATGATATTTTAGATATTTATGTTGACCATAATATAAATACACATGTTATTGATGTTGATCATGAAGAACGTATCGTTAATAAGGATTTTGAGTCCGATAAGAATCATGATACATTTTGTACAATTTTTAATGGTGAATTTAAATATGAATTTGGTACAACAAAATATGAATTTGGTGTAGTTGATGATAATGAGGAGCATTTTAGTGATTTTGAGGATAGTGAGGATGATAAGGATGAAAATGAAGATATCTTTGAGAATTTATATGAGAGAGGGCAGCCACAATATGGTAATATAGATGAAACAAGTGAGAGAATGGTATAGGAGAGAGAGAGAGAGAGAAGCTACACGAAGCTAATATTTTTGAAGGGTGTGTAGTATGGATGAAAACAATGGAAATTCTAACTCGTGGAGACACTAATGAACTACACGGTGTTGATTAACTTGGTAAGGAAGATTGTAAAAGAAGGAAAAAGAAGAAAAAAATATCTAGAATTCAATAAGAACAATAATTTCAAAGGAAAAATTGAATTGAAAACAAAAATGATATTTGGTAGGTATAAGGTGCTTAGGATGGTTTTGAAAGCATCCTCAGCTCAAATTGAGTATGACTTCAAATATATGAAGAATGATAAGGATAAGATCATTGTTGGACGTATAAAAAATTATGATTGGAAAGTTCATTCATCACCTACATTAGATGACAAAGACATATTAAATCATTTTTTTGACAAACACAACTATGGTAAGGCCTTCAAGAATAAAAACAAGATTGCTTGTTGGATAGTAAAACAATACATTCATGACATTAGCCATACATGAAGCTTACTATTTTGATAAATAGGATCTCAAGAGAGTATGAGTATAATGTCACAGCTTGATTTATGTTATAGGACTTTGAGAGGTAGAAGACAAATGATTAGAGAAAAAGACAATGAAAAATAAGCTTTGCTATGACACTATGTTGAAGTAATCAAGAAGTTTAATCTTGAAAGCACAATGAAGATGGATGCCTTTAATGGAATATTTGAGAGATTTTATTGTAGGCTAATATTTGGTATTGATGGATATCATCCGAAGAGAGTTTTAAAGGGCAACTACTGGTTATTGTGGGAAAAGATGATAATAAGAACCTTTTTTCTATAGCTTGGGTAGTTGTTATGTTTAAAACAAGAAAGGACTAATGATGCTTTCTTAAATTGCTATTGGATGATATTGGATCAATAAAAGATAATGGTTCGATATTCTTTTTAGACAAAATGAAAGTTCATTTTCTATTTTGTATTTTAATTTATTTATCAAGAATGAATGATTTTTTGTTAACTAATATATATATATATATATATATATATATATATATATATAAAGATCTTAATTTAGCCCTATAATATAAATATATATATATATATATATATATATATTTATATTATAGGGCTAAATTAAGATCTTTGAGAGTGAGTTAAAAAGGGTGGATCATAGGTTTTGTGTTAGACACTTTTATACCAACTTTAAGAAGTATTATGGGTCTAAAAACGCAATAAAGGATCATCTATGGAATGTTTTAAGAGCTTATACTACTAAAAGGTTTGAGTATCACATGAAAGAAATAAAAGAGTTAGATGTTGCAACATATGCGTAGACTGATAAAGATACATGTTAAGATATAATATAGGCATGGATTTAGTAAAGAACCAAAGTGTGACTTGTTGCTCAATAATATGTCACAAACTTTCAACTCCTACATACTTGAAGGTAGAGACAAGCCAATTATCACCATGCTTGAAAGTATAAAGATAATGTTAACGAGGAGGTTTTATCAAAAAATGGAGGGTATGCTTGCCTACAAATGACATATTTATCTAAGGATCTTGAAGAAAATTGAGAAACTAAAGCGAGTATGTAACAAGATATATTGTGATCCCCGGTGTAAATAGAAGGTTTAACTTCACTCATTCCGAGGAGAATGCAACAATCTGTGACCTCGAGAGGAAAACTTGCATGTGTAGAAAATGACCTTGCCATCATGTTATTGATGTAATTTAGAAAAAAGAACTCGCAACCTAATTACATGCATGATTGGTTTAGAAAGAAACATTTCTCAAAGCCTATGAAGTGCAAATAGAACATGTTCTAAGACTAGATGATTGACCTCTCACCTCTTATGATCCGTGAAGCCACCCACAATTAAGAAATAAATTGGCAAGCTAAAAATGGCAAGAAAAAGAGATGAGTCCGAACCCTAGCCTCCAAATCCTTATAAGGTTAGTATAAAAAGAGTGATAATGTTATGTAGAAATTGTAAGCAAAAAGAACATAATGTGAGAAGGTGTTTCTTATCAAGAGTTGTCAATACAAATGAAAAGTTAACAAAAAAAAAAAAAACTAAAAAAGTTGTAAATATTAAGACATCAAAGACAAGAACAACTCGAAGCTTCAAATGGAGAACATCACGGATAGTGACTTTTGAAGCTTAAAATAAGGATACACCATACCTACCAACACATTCATCAATATTTAATCAATCTCAATACAATATAGTCACATACACCTCTCCTCGAAAGCCGAATAGAGAAAGAGAAAGGGAAACAAACCCGCAACTAACAAAGTTCTATAAAAAATAAAATAAATTACATATAATGACCTATTATAATTTCAATATGATTTAATTATTATTGGATTAGTTAATTTATTCATTACATTTTTGATAGGTTACTAGAACACATTAAGGCTTTATGGCACCTACTAAGGCAAGTTATGGTAGAAGGACCACCATAAGGACCATAAAAATTAAGTGAAAATAGTTTTAAAAGTCTTAATATGCATTTGATGATGATATATAGTTTTTGGTTAATGGTAGTTTTGTGTTTGTCCAAATAGTATTGAATAAATCAATAGTGATATATAGTTTATGGTCGATGGTAGTTTTGTATTTATTCAAATACTCGCTGGATAGATAAATGATGATGCTAGTTTTATGTAACGCCCATGGCCCAATAAAAAGACCGAGAGTGCTACCGCATTACCTCACACCCAAGGGTGCAAGCAATGCACTAATGTCCTCTAACTTGGATCTCTATCACAATGCTCAAGCAAAATCTTCATTCAGTTTGTAATAACTCGAATTAAAAAAAAAGGATAGTATAAAAGGAGCGATAATTGCCCCGTTTTCAAAATTTTCCTCTTTTTTCTCTCCCTCTCTCACGTGATTTTTCTCTCAAATATTCTACCAACTTTCTCTTCAATTCCTAAGCTAATCTATTGTTCAATTAGCTTAGGAAGACCATAAGAAAGAGGATTTAAGTGGAGTATAGTTAGCTTGGAGCTTGGGAAGTTTGAAAAACTAGGAAGAATTTAGGATTTAAAGAGCATAATGAAAAGTAAGATCTTTAATCCATTGATCTTTGAATTTTGAAGTTTATGTATAATTAATGATGATATCGAGTTGGAGTAGCTTTGGATTATAAATTGCTCGAGGAATTGCTTAGGTTAAGGTTAAGGACTTAAAACCCATTTGGAAAAAAATGATTCTAAGTGATCATGATGGGTTGAATAATGTTTAATTATCTTAGGTAAGTGAAATAAGAAGTTAGTTTGAATTTAGGTTTTAAATGGAAAGAATTTGAGAAAAATGAGAAATTTAGCTATATAAATATAATTCAAGGTTAATGGAATGAGTATTTAGTGAATTAGAATGTAACGAAAAATTTAATTGAAAATCAATTGGATTAAAGATTGATTGATTACATGTTTGAATTGAGAATTCATGATTGAATTAAGAATCGGTGATGATAGGGTTCAATGAAGCAATGAATTAGCATTATTAGAGAGATTATGGAGTCTAGTTAAGGTTATCGGTTTGAGTCTTTCCAATCAATTTTTTTTTTATAATCTTATATGCTTATTTTTATTATTTTGGATTATTCCTTAAGGTACGATATTGATGGATGCCACGTCATTTGTGATACTAGATTCCATAGAACGGGCGACTTCATCGCAACTTTGATTTTGTTTGGTTCTTCAAATTGTATTTATGAGTGGATATTATATAGTGTATTGTGTTTTATATTCTTTGAATTATGTCTATCATGCCTCATCGGTTTAAGAATAATTTAGAAGCACTTCATTAGAACTTAGATGGGAATGGACATCATGAATATTGAAATATTTTTATATCAAAATGATTTGTTATGAATTGAAAAGGGGTTTGACATGTGTTTTCGGACATGAGAAAATATGTTATAAATTTTATTTTGATTATACGTATAACTTCGAAAATGCATGCATGATTTGTGAAATATCAATTTGAAAATGTATAAATATGTTTGGTTTTTGAAAATATTTTTGAGACCCTAGGAAACCTAGCTATCGAGGGGTAGCCGTTGAGCTCAATGATACAAGGCTTTATCTAGTAAGAAAGGTATAGTGCTAGATCATGTGTCGATCAACACGCCGAAACCTAGTCATGAGGGAAATAACCTTTGGGTGTTCACTCCTAATGATACGTTATTACTTCACGAGTGTATAAATACTTATATATGTGTTTTCATATGAGTACGATATATGTATGTATGAATATTTTGACGATTTGATGTTAAATGGTTTTGAACAATTTGATTTGTGATACGAGATGCGTTTTGGTTATGCATGTGTTTTGAGAAGCTAGCATAGCATGTTGGGATGAATTTGAAATTATAATCCTTAGTTCATTTCCCTCCTTAGTATATTATATAATGTCTACTCATTGAGATGTAGATTACTCATCTTTTATTATTTTAGTTTTACAGGATACTAAGGGATTGCCTATTTCTTCCTTTTTGCTTACCTTTCGTGAAGTCGGCATTTTGGTGATGCAACTTATTTCCTTGTAATTCCATAGAACCTATGTATGTTATGATTTGTTGTATTTTTAGAAGCTCCGGAGTTATAGCTGTGGGTAGTATATTAAAATTTGATTATGAATATTGATCTTGGTTATTGAAATAAGAATAGCATGAAATTATGAATTATATTAAGGTTGAAGAAAAGTTTATTAAGTCATGATAATGTTAATTGAAATGATAATGGAAGTGATAATGATTTAAGGATTTTATTTTAATATCCGAGGCTTGTTTAGGTCTAGGTAAGCTCACAATTCCCTCGATCCTTACGCCGATCATGGCCCATTCCTAGGGTTGTGACATAGTTTAAAGTTCAAGGCTTCCTAAGATTTAATATTTAAGTCTAACAAATTTCCTACAACCTAAACTATTTCACATTCATCATTGGATTAAACATATTAAAACCAACAAGTTTCACCGAGTTTAAAAGCATTCATAAACGTTAAC